GGGGGGGGGGGGGGGGGGTCTCCCACACCCTTTTGATTTGAGGTGAGGGGGTCTCCCCCTCCCCAAATCCCCCCAAAAGTCCCCAAAATGCCCCAATTTCCCCTCAGTTCCGTGACCCCGAGCACGGGGAGTGGTTCGGGTACCTGAACCGCGACGGCTCCGTGGCTCTCTCCATCAAGGGGGGACCCTACAAAGGTGGGTCTGGGGTCTCTGATCCACGACGGGGGTTGGCGAGGGGTTTTTTCCTGATTTTTCCCTTATTTTCCCCCATTTTTTCCTGATTTTTCCCCTAATTTTTGCCAATTTTCCCCCCATTTTTCCTGATTTTCCCCCCAATTTTTCCTGATTTTTCCCCCCCAATTTTTCCTGATTTTACCCTGATTTTTCCCGATTTCCCCCTGATTTTTCCTGCTTTTTCCCCAATTTTTCCTGATTTCCCCCCAATTTCTCCCCCAATTTTTGCCAATTTTTCCCCAATTTTTCCTGATTCCCCCCCCCGATTTTTCCTGATTATTTTCCCCCAATTTTTCCTGTTTTTTCCCCAATTTCTCCCCAATTTTTCCTGATTTTCCCCCAATTTTTCCTGATTTTCCCCCAATTTTTCCTTATTTTTCCCCAATTTTTCCTTATTTTCCTCCTGTTTTTTCCTGATTTTTCCCCAGTTTTTCCTTACTTTTTCCCCCGATTTTTCCTGATTTTTCCCCAATTTTTCCCGATTTTCCCCTGATTTTTCCTGCTTTTCCCCCAATTTTTCCTGATTTCCCCCCAATTTCTCCCCCAATTTTTGCCAATTTTTCCCCAATTTTTCCTGATTCCCCCCCCAATTTTTCCTGTTTTTTCCCCAATTTCTCCCCAATTTTTCCTGATTTTCCCCCAATTTTTCCTGATTTTCCTCCTGTTTTTTCCTGATTTTTCCCCAGTTTTTCCTTATTTTTTCCCCCAATTTTTCCTGATTTCCCCCCAATTTCTCCTCCAATTTTTGCCAATTTTTCCCCAATTTTTCCTGATTTCCCCCCCCCCGATTTTTCCTGATTATTTTCCCCCAATTTTTCCTGTTTTTTCCCCAATTTCTCCCCAATTTTTTCCTGATTTTCCCCCAATTTTTCCTGATTTCCCCTCCGATTTTTCCTGCTTTTTTTCCTGATTTTTCGCAATTTTACCCTAATTTTCCCCCGATTTTTCCTGATTTTTTCCCCCAATTTTTCCTGATTTTTCCCCCTGATTTTTCCCCCGATTTTTCCTGTTTTTTCCCCTGATTTTTCCCAATTTTACCCTAATTTTTCCCCAATTTTTCCCCTTTTTGCCCGTTTTTCCCCGTTTTTCCAGGCTGTTTCCACGTGGCGCGGGCGCTGCTGATGTGCGAGGAGATGCTGGACGACATCCTGGAAGGGGAGAAGCCTCCACAATAAATTTGGGATTTGGGAACCCCCTAAAAAAATTCGGGAACCCCCCAAAAAATCAGGAATTTCCCTGAATGAAACTGAGATTAACTCCCGATAATCCTGATAAAAGTGGAGAGAGAAAAAATTCAAATAAAGGGAAAAATAGACAATAATAGCACGGGCCACCCCTCCAAAAGTGGGAGTGGGACCCCCAAAATCCCAAAAAAATCACCTCACAATCTCTTCAAAATCCAACCAAAAAAAAAAAATCCCCAAATTCTCCATTTTCGCCTCAAAAAAAATCCCCAATTTCCACCCCAAACTCCTCTTAAAACCTCTCAATAATTCCCAATAAATCCCTGTACCCCTCCCCTCAAAAATTCCCCAAATCTGCCTCAAAAATTCTCCTCGAAAATTCCCCAAATCTGCCTCAAAAATCCCCAAATTCTCCAAATCCCCCAAATTCCCCTCAAAAATATCCCCAAACCCCCCTCGAAAATTCCCAAATTCTCCAAATCCCCCAAATTCCCCTCAAAAATATCCCCAAACCCCCCTCGAAAATTCCCAGAATTCCCTTTTTCCCGCCCAAAATTCTCCCGCCCCCAACCTTGCCCTCACTCAAGATGGCGGCGCCCTTTGTCTCGTCATTACGTCACTTCCGCCCTTCCCTTTGATTTCGCTGTCACCTCCTCTTCCCATCCTCCCTCCGCTTTCGGCTGTTCCCTCTTTGCTTCT